GCCAGATTATCAGTTTGCAGAGTTATTTTTATGTTTTCAATGAGTGCAATCATCATGGCACATGAGGATAAATAGCTGTGCATGTACCTTGTGTTGTTCCCGTGCCTGTAACAGATTTTACCTGAAGATAAACAAAACATTCCTTTTGAATTAAAAAAGCATTTGCTCTGAAAAGAGTCTTTCTTCAGTCTGTATCTCTGCATATCCAGTATCTTACACAATTCAGTGTATCCTGAATTCTGCCTAAGAGAATAGCAAGGCTCCTCTTTACATGTCCTAGGAAATTATTGTCGAGATGTTTTTGTATGTTTACTTTCCAATGTGCAAGACCAGTGTACGATTCTTCTTCAAATCCCTCATTGAATCTCATATGTGCCAGAGCACTGTATTTGCAAATTTTTAATATTTTTCCTTAACACTGATTTTGCAGCACTTATGTACCATAAAGCCCCAGTATTTATATGCATATTATTTTAACATCCTGGGGTTTTCACAGATGTGAATTACAAAGAGTAAATAACTACCTGCTGCTTACTATAGGCCTTGAATTTGAGACAAGTTTGCTGGTCACAGGAATGAGACTATTTCTCTGTCCTCGATTAGCTGCCCCCTCAAAAAACTATAATTAATCCTGTTCACAACCATATGCCCCTATAAACTGGCTCGGGAGAAAAACCAGGGCATGTACAGAGGAGCTTTCCCAGGAATGCAAGATGAAATGTCATAAGGAGTATACTAGGAGTCCTAGTGAAATATATGTATTGTATAAGTGGCCTTGCCCCAATCCTAGTTGTTCTAAATGGGCTGCAGCTGTGATGTCCTTAATTGGGTGGCAGCTGTGGCTAATGAAGATAACTGGGATAAAAGGAGGTAGGCTGGCCAGTCAGGGAGAGCCTTGATGAAGAAGCAGGAGCAATGTTGTTGTGAAGACTGCAACCATAAGAAAACACTGAGAGAAGGTCTTTGACTCTAGAAATATGAATACAACAAAGGAGCTTTTCCAGTAGCCCAGGAAAGTGGGATGGAGTGAGAACTGATAACTCAGCTCCTTCTAGTCACATCCTCACCAGCTGCAGCAGGCAGCAATGCAGGAGGGGTTGGCAGCCTTACTGTCTGACCAGCTTCAAGGCCAAATGCCAAGGCAGTGTGGCCACCCGAGTCTCTCTTTCCTCTATCTCCTGTCCATTAAGTAGGAAAATAACTGTTGGTATCTTCAAATGCACTAATTTTGGATCTGATGTACAAATCAAAATTAAATTCAGGCTGGGATGTCCATCAACTTCTTCACCCTCCTGAGGCCTCCTCCCCTCCTAAGGGTTCCTCCTGACTCTTCCTTGGATAACCACAGTACAGCCTGGCATCATCTTCTTCACTCCTTCATTTTCCATCTCCTTCACTGAAAGTTAAATTTGAGCATTAAACTCCCACTCACCTACATAATGACACCACTGAGCTCTTTCAGAGATCCATTTTCATGAGCCAGTCTCTTTGTACATGTGAAAATTGGAGGTGAAAAAATAAGAATATTTATAAAGTGATAATAAAAGTGCCTAGACTCAATATATTCCAGATTGCCAGTGCAGATAATTAATACTTGTGGTGTTTGGGTTTTTTTGATCAGGGAACATTTAAATATCTTGAAAACTAGGCTTCCATTTATCTTACTGACAGAGACATCACTGATAGTCATCCTAAATATTCCTAATTTTCTTCACATTACTTAGAGCTGTTTTACACTGCCCTTCACAGACTCTGCAGTCAAAAGGAACTGCTACAGCCAGCCTCTCTTGACACCCTGCAGAGAGGTACTGTAGACTTCACCCCAGAAACTGGATTAAAGCACGTCCTTTGGAACTATTTTTAATTTCATTTTAACAACATCAAGCAGTAGCCAGTTGTCATTTCACTAATATGCCATGTCAAAGCTTACTTACTTTCACTCCTAGGAAGCTGTGCCTTACTTTTAAGGTTTGATTTCTCCAATAACACCTACTGAATCTGTTTTTCCCTGTAAGGTTAAAAAGATGCACCCACAAGACTTCATGTTCAAGGGCATAACTAGGGTTATTATGTCTCTTCTTAACTTCTCTTTGAGAACTTGCACACCCCCTGAGTGCTTTGAGAACTCTTCAGCCTTGCTTTCCCATCTCTAAAGAGTTGTTTAGCTTCATTTAAATTATCCTCATGCTTTCTTGAAGTATAAACAATGGGTCTGGAAGCAGTAAATAGACAGCACTATGGTTTTACTTCACTATTTTTACTTGATGAAGCTATTTTCTGTAAAAGCCATTCTGTAATGGTCATTGCCTCTCATTCTGTCTCTTGTTACTTGACTTTATCTTTCATTCTTTTCTGATACAATCCCAAATTTACCAGTTTGGTAAATCTCAACTTTACCAGTTTGGATGTTTGCTGCTATGTGAGATGACTGGTCTGCAACTCTCTGTCCTTGCCCTCACTCCTTTTAAAAGTTGAAATTACTTTGACATACCCTTCATTCTTTGAAACTCTTGTTTTCAAACTTTAAGTAAACAGTAATATTTGTTCCTCAGAGTTGAATCTTTTAAGTAAAGTAAGCTGCCAAAGTGCCATCACACACAGTAATGTAAAGCCCCTCTGTTCAGCATTAGATTTCCCTAAAGTACGTTGTCTACAGCCATACTGTATCATGGATCACTGCTGACTCTTAGGTCATTGTCATTTTTTGTGCCTTTTAATTTACAGTATATTAAAATAATGAGGAATGCAGTGTTTGTGTGGTGTGGAAATATGAGCATGCAAAAGCAGATGGGATGTTTGAAGTGGCAAGTGCTGGGAAGAAGAGAAGGCTCTGGTAAGCAGCCTGCTGGGAGCAGTCCCTGGAATAAAGTGTGCCTGCAGCACAGCACAAGTTAAACTCAGAAGGAACTAGTTGACTGAATCAAAAAGCAAATCTAGGATTGAACCAGTTATTTGCTCACCTAGAGAGCAGCAGGTGGGAAAGAACACTGGGGATCCTGATAGTTATCAAGCATGCCATGCTCTCTGCAGGGCTAGATTCACAACTGTGCTTAAACTCTCACAGTGAGAGCTGCTGAATGTGACACTGAAGACATGTGGCATTAAGAATGATGCATTTCATCCACAACCACTGAAAAGGAATGAAAATAAATGGTCAGCTCCTGCCCCAGGTCACGAGTTGTCCTTTGCAGTCTTTGATACATTGTGTGCTGCTTGACTTGCTTATAATTACGCTCAGAAAAGGAATAAAACAACAAAATTTCCCAATGATAAAATTAGTGATGGTAGCAAACTGTGATGAACTGGAGCAACACATGGAAGATTGATTACAAAAAAAGTGGCAAATGCAATTCAGCACAAACAAATAAATTATACACATGGATATAAATAATCATAGTTTCCACATATGAAAAAATAATCTCTAAGCTTATCAGTCTACTAAAGAGTGAGATCCTGCAGTTACCATAGATGATGCAATGAAAACAGCTCAACATTCAGATCAACTTAAAAAAGCAAGTCAAATATAAGGAAGTACTAGAAAAGGAATAAAGAACAAGAAAGTAATCAAACAGACTAGTACTTAGGTGCATGGCTAAAGCTGTGTGCAGTTTTGGTCCCCTTCTCAGAAAATAATACATGACACCCAAAAAAGTTTCAAAGAACAGTAAATACAGAAGTTATTCCATGCTTTTGGTCACTCAAATGCTAAAGCATTTCAGCTTAGAAGACGAAATTTAAAGGTGTCTTACGTATCTGCAGAAACATGGCATGGTAGGTAAAAGTTTGCAGTGCAAAGGACATTAAACTAGTGAGCATCAGGTTCAAAGTGGCAATTCTTTATGCAACAGACATTAATTGATAAAGGCTGCTGTTATTCAGGAAGCATATATAGTCCAAAGGAAACCAGACAACTACTGGAAAAAATAGCACTGAAAACTACTAAATAGACAAACCATATGATGTTCAGGAAAGCCTGGAATAGAAGACATTTAGAAGCCAGGAGAACACAGAAGAAAAGCAACCAAACACGGTTGCATTGTTCTTATCCTTCCTGAGGCAGCTGCCTTTGACTACAAAAGAAGCTATTATGTTAGAAAAAACAACTTTTGTCAGGACCTGTATAGATATTCCTATGTTTATCTTCTTCAGAGTTCCAAGGGCACGTAAGGAAGGAGCACAGAGGAAAAGCACGTGCTGTTTGCTCAGCTTCTTGGTTAAATGTAGTGGAAGGTGATGTGTGTTACAAATGCAGCCAAGACTTCTCAGCCATCACTGCCAAGCCTCAGCACTCATGTTCACATAGTGGGGATGCTGTTAAAGTGACAGACTTACCTTGCACTCCCAGTATTTCCAGTATGAAACTTCCAACTAGAGAGATTTTCTTTTCATTTCTCACCAGGAAGAAGAAAAAAAATACTTTTTGTATTTGTTGTGGATGGTATCCCAAAAAAAAAAAAGCAGTCAGGAGTTCTCTTACACCACTTTAAGAAACAACATGTTTAGTACATTTAGTACTTTAAGTACATTAAGTACTTAAAGTACTAAATTAGTACCCTTTAGTGCATTAAGTAACCAATGTTACCATTTAGTTCCATGTAATAATGAAAATAATGCACTTTTAGTTTTACAGACATCAAATTGGGGTTTTGAATGTCAAAAACATGCCCTTCTTCTGGAATTCTGCAATACAAATGGTCTACCAGAAAATGTCCAAATGTATAAAAGTCGTAAGCTTACCAAAGGTAAATGGTAGATGCAATTTATTGGGCAGTTCAAGAATTATGTATAATTTTATAAATTATGTATAAATTGTCATTGCAGTTGTAAGCTGTTTTAAATATTTCAAGGACACTGAACCCAAATTAAAATCAAGTTAGAAAAAACCCTGGAAATACATAAAACTAATCAATAGAGTGACATTCAAGGGAAGTCATCAGACTTCCTGTATTACCCAAAGATTTGGCTGTAGAGAAAAGGAAATGCAGCAGCAGAAGCATATATTCTAATAAAGTTTCGTTATTATTTTGAGTACATTTGCAATAGTTTACAGAAAATTTTCAAAGTTTAAGTTACACAAGAGAAATCTCACAGACTGAGATGTGACACCTGAGACCAGCGAGAATGCTCCCCAAGTCTTGTCTCATTTTTGACATGTAGTACTGAGTCTAGAGAAAATTAAGTAAGAGAGCTAATTGCTCATTTGTGCTGATCTGACCTGGACTTTTCAGGATATTTTACTGAATTTTAAGATTTCCAAAGATAAATTTCATTGTTGATACCTTTTCATACAGTCAATATTCACGTTATGAACATTTAAAGCCCTTTGTAAATTGCTGCTATGAATGTGCAAAATGAAACCATTTAAAAATTCCCCACTTTGGTTATTTACAGCATCTTCCTGGAATGATGTTTTGGCCAGGCTAACTGGAAATAAAGGCAAGTGATTCAGTGCAATATAAATATTTTTCTATTCTCTTTGTCAGCAATATGAAGTATTTAGCTTTCTTGATTGCTTTTTGTAGCACTATGATCCAGAGTGTGTATGATGTAAACTCTTCAAGTAAAAAGAACTTTTAATCTCTGCACAAATAGAACTTTTGGCTCAACTAAGAGTCCAGGTTCATTTCCAAATGTGCTTTGCCCTGTTAACCCTGCAGGTTGCTTTAGGTCCCATTAGTGCTACACTTTGAAAACAGCATAAAAAAAATCAAATACCTTTAAAAAACCCCCAAAAACTTACACAGCAGCAGATGAAGAACACACAAGAAACCATCTTCTTACAAAGTAGAATTCCTGGGTGCAGAGATACTTACTGGACATTAAAAGTTGTTTTGGCATCAGTGAAGGTTGTCAGTGCTAAATGAGAAGACATTCCTGTACCAAGCAGCTATTTAAGACTTACTGATATTCATCAACCAAACCAGATGCTTCTCATGTATGGACTATTGTATTGCAGTAACAATACAGCCTTAATATTTTTAGATCCTACAGTCAGAACAGGTGTAACAAATGTAGCATCTGCCCGCTGTGAAACATTCCATGTCATCTAGAATTTAAATTTACATACATATCTACATGGATAGCTGAAAAACTTCTGTTATCTAAGTTAAACACTTTTCCCAGCAATTTGAATTGAAATCAAAAGCACAACTCATGACCTACATTATTAAAAAAATTCTTCATTTATTACTTTCAGCTTGAGACTTAAGTTACTGCCCTTGCTCTAAAATAAAGTCACTATGGGCTTCATTCCTATCTGGACCATAAAGCAAGACTAAAATTGCACATGTAGCTTTTCATCAAAGCAAAAGATAAAACCCATGATATACTACCACTTCCAAAGGATGAATTAACAAAACTGCACTCATTCTAACAAGGCTTGTTGGTACACACTAGTAAATTCAACAAATGTACAATATCGGGCATGATTTGAAATGTACAGGATGTCAAAGAAAACAATTGCACTACATTCACAAACAGTTCACAAAAATACCAGTAATATTATCGGTGAACTTTTAAAAAACTTTTCAAAGCTATTATATACACCATTCTTTTGAAAAGTATTACAGAAATACTCTGAAACCTTCACATACACTTATTCAATTTTTTATTCTTAATACTGGCAATCTTCAGAGCTCCTGGTAAGCTTAACTCGGCATTCTTCTCATGCAGAGATTTTCTCCCATGTCAGCCTGTCATATTTTCAGCAGCCTAGAAGCAGAAAAAAAATTATCCCAAGTCACCAAAAGAGACATCACATAGATTTAAATTTAATCTTTTCTTGTAACTTTTTAAAATTACCTAGAGAACTTAGGGGTCTAAAAAAAAAAAAAGCTATTTAGGAAATTTTTTTCTAATGAACACTACTTTTTCCTAAAAAATAATGCTCTCAGCTGCCATCACTCCTTACTAGAAGAGCCACTGCTGTTTGCTTGTTTTACATCCTGTATCTGAGAAGCTTTTATCTTGTACATTTCACCCTAATACTTCCAAGAAAGGCTCAAATGCACAAATATAGTTACCTCTGGAATTTACTTCATATAATTTATGGTAATTATTACCTCATCCATATAGATTAGTTATTGACACAAAACTCAGAAGAATGACACTAATCATAACTGCATAAATCACACTACCAATTATTTGATTAACAATATTAGTATTTTTATCACTGAATAACTACAGCCAACAAAGCACAGTTATTGAAGAATGACAGGGGTAGATTTTATGGCAGTTACGGGGCAAACAGGTAAAGGAGAGCAACAGGAATGGGAAACCAGTGAAAGCAATGGAAGAAGTAAAATAGCCCTCAATTATTTGCATACACAGTTAAATACATATGTAAGACACATTTAAGCATAGACACAAATACAAAATATGCATGAGCATAGAAAAATGTTAAGTTAAAAATAAAGTCTGCAATCTTCCAGAATAGAAGCAAGATATAGATTTCCCCTTTCCCCTGTCAAAAATAGTCAAATATAAGATGCAGTATTAAAAAATCCTGTCTGTGATGTTTATGTAGACAGTAAAGAATAAAAATCCTTTAAAATGCAAGTGAGGTTTTTTTAACCATCTACTAGTTAAACAGGCAAATACGCAAATACGAAAAGCCCTATATGTACACACATCACGAAAACCCCTCCTTCTGGTCTTTGCAAAGGCTCAAAGCAGAGACTAAGGAGGTAAAAACAATATGTTAAGATGATGTTAACAAGCTGCATGTACCTGTTTACAAGTACTGCTGCAAACTCCTAAATCTGAGGTTTTAGTAATGAGGTGATACTTGTTAAAGGAGAAATCTATTTGTGATATTGTGCAGGTAAGGGGACAAATGGTGAATAAAAATTTCTGAGTTTTGGTTGTGGTCTTTTTCTTCAGAAGTGTAACTTTAATTATTTTATTTCTACAAAACAGGTTATTTGTAACATTTCTTGGTTCAAGTTCAGTTGTATTCATTGCCTCCTCTATTGAACAGCTAATTTTCTTGACTTAAAAATTAGCCATAACAAAGTACAATCTACAAACTGAAGTGCAGCAAGTTACATGTGCATCTGACTCTAATAAACAAATGTAAAAGCTTTTTAAAGTAGAGCATTACCTTCAGAGCTTCTGTAGCCTTGCGCAGCTCTTTAATCACAGAAGACAGGGCTTCTGGATTTATCCCTTGTTCACAAAGCCGCACACAAATAGACAACGTCTCCATGTCCAAGCCAGTGTTTAATATTCTTGAAATCTCAAACAGAACTGCAACAGAAAAAAAAATGAAAGCACTTTAGTTCCTACAGACGATGAAATTTCAATGATCAAGATTGTTCTTCATCAACATTTCGATTCTACAGCACTTCTACAGTGTGAACATGGCAGATGTCCATTGCTGTTTGCAACAATATTTATGCCAGCCCTCTTAAGCTACAAGATACAACTTCCAAGATAAACACCATGCTTCCCTGGTTCAGGAAATTTAATACTGGATAGCGGGTTTTGAAAAATTGAAAAAAACCCTGAAAAATTCAACAATTAACATGCCTGTCAATTACGTAAAAGGTAGGCTATAAGAACACATTCTGGACTCCAGACACTGAAGAAGTCCTTTCTAATCTTTAGGTGTTGAGGCAGTGTCTTTGGCAGAGAGATGGAGCAGTTTCTCCACAACAATTCTGAGCTCTTAAAACTTTGCAAGCAGCAACTGTTAAATATCTGTATCCATCCTAAATAAAATATATACATAGTTACACAGGAAATGTGGGCTCCTAAATCTGAAGATTAGTGAACTTTCCATATCTGTTCTCAAAAGCCTTACTTTGTCTTTAAACCTGCCTGTTGTCCCTCCTGTCTAAATCATTCCTGCAGAAGAGGAAAGAGTGAAGTTGTCAAGTACAGTTACCAGAACTGAGATTCTTTGTCCTTTCCAAAGAAGTCACTCTCTATCTGCACAAAATGGTTTTACCCAATTACAGCATCATAGTGATCCTGCTAGTCCTGCCTTGCCTCCAGCAGCAGGTCAGAGCATGAAGATCAGTGGCTGAAATGCTAATTTTTACACCAGCTCAACTCATGAAGGTCTGTACTAAAACATCCTTTTGTAACAGCAGCTGTAACTTCAAGAGAAGGGAAGATGCTGAGAAAATAGCAAATGCATAGCACTATCCCTTGAACATTCTCCCTAGCCTCTACTCCCTCATTAGGGCATTTTTAGAGAAAGGCACCACACATTTAACAACCCTCAACAGACTGCCGGGCTGCTTTCCAACCTGCATATAAGCTTTCGGTATAGGCATTTTGTGGAATTCCAGAGTCTCACACTACACTGAGAAACAACTCCAAAACACGCCAGCTTTGATTCCTCACAGTCAGGCTGAAAGTGAGCACCCCAGCTTCACCCCCCTGCTCACACTTCTCACGGCTCATCAATCACCAAAGTAGTTCCCAGTATCCCTTCTCTCACATTCCCCATCCCACAACAGTACCTGAGTTCAGGGTTGGGTTTTTTCCATATCAGAATCTATTTTAGTTCTACACCACTGACTACTTTTCCTCAAAGCTTTCACACAATATTGTAGTTTGGGCTGTTTTGAGGGCTTTTTTTTGCTGCCGCCGACACCGGCCCAGGGCCGCTCCCTCCTCTCTCTCTCTCTCAGGTCAGGCCATTTACATCAACCGTTACACATAACGAGAAACAACAGCAAATACGTATGTATATACACACACACATATACAAATATATACAGACGCTAAAAAAACCCTAGTATTCTATGCTAGATACCTAGCTAAATTTAAAAAAGAAACAAAACCATGAAAAGGAAAAGCCACGTTAGGTCCAAAAGCATTCGCTCGGCGGGGGTTGAGCTGTTTCACGAAGTAAAACAAAACCTGCCACACGCTGCATCTCTGGGCAGCCGCAGCCAGCGCCCCTTCCCCCAAGAGAGGCGCCCGTGCGCGCGGCCCATGGCGGGGCCAGGCGCTGCCCCTCCCTCGCGTCCCGCCCGTCCTGTCCTGTCCCGCACCGTCCATGGTCTCCCTCACGGCGTTCAGGCTGGCGGCGTTGCTCGCCATGGCGACCCCGCCGCGCCCGGAACCGGAACGCCGCGCGCACGCCCGGGCCCGCCAGCCCCACGTGATGGCCTGGCGCAGCGCGGGCGGGGGCGGGCTTTCTTTGAATTCGTGCGGCGGCGGCGCTGCCGATTGGCCCGTTCGAGAGAGGGGCAGCCCTGCCATTGGCCCGACAGTGCACACCGCGCTCCGTGATTGGCCAAACGACGAAAAAGAAGGCGGAGCTGGTTAAAGGGCCGCCCGGCGCGGCGGAGCGGGAGCGGCGCGGCGGCGGCCGGATAACGGCGGCAGGTGGCTGTGCCCGCATCCTCGGCACTCCTGGCTCACCCGGCATCGCCTCCTCGGCGGCGGGGCTTGGCAGAGCGGTGAGAGGCTCGGCGCGGTGGCACCGTCCCGGGGAGAAGCGTGAGGAGAGGCTCAGCGGGGCTGCCTGCCCCGGGGTTCCCGTTCCCGTCACGGCCGGGCCCGGGAGGTGCCGCCTGCCGGAGCCCCGCGAGGCCCGGGGCTGCCCCGGCCCGTTGAGGCGGAGGGCGGGCGGTTTTAGCGCCCGAGACCCGCCCGGGCCGTTATTGCTGTCCCGGCCGCTGGGGCTGCTCGGCCACTTCTGGTGTTAGCTGGGGTTTGTTTGTTTGGTTTTGGGTTTTTGTCTTGTGTGCTTGTTGTTTTGCCCTTGTTGGGGTGTTTACTTGGCTTTTCTTAACTCCTCCTTTCATGTTCTTTCTTAACTCGTTTTCGTAGTTTCTGTTTGCTTGCAGTTGTTCGTACCAGCCTTATTTATCAACTTTATTCCCATTAAGTCCAACCCATAGCTAACTTCGTTTTTGAAATGTTGCTGGTTCCATAAAATGATTAATTCTCTCTGCCCAAAGCCTTCAGGGTGGCCCTGAAATGTCAATAGTGTGATTTCGTTGTTATCCCTAATTCTGCTCTCCCTGTTTTTCAGGTATAGCTTAGTGTTATGGGTGATACAGAAGAAGCTAAAATGCAGATAACGCCAGAAACTCCAGGACGAGTCACAATCCTGAACCCTTTTGAAAGTCCTAGCGATTACAACACTCTTCAGGAGCAGATTGTTTCCAGTCCTTCAATCTTTAAGGCAACGAAATCCTCATCTGTAAGATCCAGTCCTTAGTTGTGTAACTATACAGATATAGTGCTAATATTTTCAAATGCATTAAAAGGGGTATTTTGTTTAGTGGACTTCAACGTACGTACCAAGCTAAAGAACTTCGGTGGCATTTGGTGTTCCTTCTCTTCACAGAACTGTGCTGCTTTTAAATACTAATATTGCCACTTAGTCTTCCTCCCTGCCTAAATTTATTTTGTCCTTAGAGATGAGTGATTGAGTGCTAAAACCAGTAGAAAGTAGATAAAGACTAGTTGTTGGGTGTGGTACTCTGGTCCTCCTTACAGTGCAGAAAACAGTTTCTACTTAGACGCTGAGTAGGCTGGTTGCAAAAAAAACCTTATGCAAATTGCACTGAGGTTGTGAGCTGTTTGTGTACTCAAGTCAATGATTTTGTGACTGTTTTTTTCATTGCAAATTACATACTAGTTTGCAGTTGAAATTATTTTCTGAGAAGCAGTAGAGGTGAATCTACTAATGAAACTAAAAAGACTCACTTGGTAGATAATTCTCCAAATATATTTGAACAGTACTTTGTTAAATAAAGGCATGAAGCTTCTTATTTCTGAATTGGATTTTGTTGTGCCCTGTGTATGGCATTTATGAGGAAAGTGTTGAAGAATGTGCAGGCATTTGAAGCTCTGGTCTTAGAAATGGGAAGTGAAAGGAAGACTGCTCTATTATTTGGATAACTGAGTTTCTGTGGAACCACAGTTTGGACTGAAGATGCAATTTAAGTTCATCCCAAGTTATGTATCTTTAGCAGACCTGTCCGTAGGAATTGAGAAGAAATTAACACCTCAGTTTGTGAGTACCAGCTGTAATCTTCCACTTCAATATTGCTACCAGCAGGATAAGAAGCCTGACTGACTTACTTTATTTTAGAGCAGATCATTTAAATAGGAACACTTTTGATTGCTTTTGACAGAAACTATATGGAAGCTGTGATTGTATTGTTCCATTGAGATTTGTCCTGTGGTTATATTTTTATCTTTTTAGAATAGCAAGCACTAAGGTGCCTGTTTCTTTCTGTAGACACCAGGAAAATTCAGATGGTCTATTGATCAGCTTGCTCTAATAAATCCTGTGGAAATAGACTCAGAAGACATTCGACGCCAAGGAATGTATTTGAGCCGTGCTAGGTAACTTACAATTTATTTTTATGCAGCTAACTTAGCTTTAATACTAGTACACTTGTTCTTATGCTTTATTAACATTTCAGCATAGCATTAAAGACTTTTTATTAAAATCTTCTTACACAATTTTTTACATGATGTGGATATAATATTTAGATGAGGCTCTGTGTTGCTTCCTTTTAGTGTTAAGGGCTGCTGATTCACTCTGATTGCAGTTTGGAAGACAGCCAGATAAAGGCAGCTAGTGGAAGCAAGAAAATGTTTTGCTAGTGATCATTACCAGGCTACCTCTTGTGCTCCTTGTTACAACACAGTTTATCTTCTCAGAGTGCTCCACAGTGAGGCTTCTTTGGCCCCTGGGGCTCCTGCAGAAGGGCAGACATGCTGGGAAACTAGCTGGGGAAGCCCCAGCAGTCTCTTTCAAAGGTCCAGATTAATGTGAAGGAGGTGGCTCCAGTGCTAGTTACTTGAAGTACTTTGGGAACCTTACCTCAACTTTTTTTCCTTCTCTGAAAATCACTTGCATGAGGAAAACAAATGGGTAGAACAGTCTTGGTATTTGGAACTTATCTTGAGGAATAATTTTACATGCAAGTGGTAGAGAGTGCCAAGTGAAAGTAGCCAGGGAAACCTTAATGGTGAACCCTGTAGACTCTCCTGAACGTTTCTCAGATACAAACTTACAGAAGGAACTGCTCCTGAAGGCATGAAGCACTGCAGGAATAGAGTAATGAACCTGTCCTGTCTAGATCAGGTTGCTCAGTCACATCCACCTTGATCTTGATTGTTTCCAGGGATGGGTCATCTACCCCCTCTCCAAGCAACCTGTTCCAGTGTTTCAACACCTTCATCATAAAAACTTACTGGTTTTAGTGTCTGACTGAACCTACAGTTCTCTTTTTGAATAATAAGACCTGTAGGACTATTGCTGTCCTCACCTGCATCTGAATCACCAGGTCTTAATGTTTCCTGTCCTTCCTCTAGCAGCCAGTAGGTTTCAGACTAATGCTTTTTATATGTTTTAAAGCCTTAAGCCTACTGTTTTTAGGGAGTTAATTACATTGTTTCTGAAACCTTACTCAGACAAGCTAGCTTTAATGGAGATGACTTGGGTGACAGTTCCAGTGATGATGAGTGACATGGCCTGTAGATATAAACCTGCATTGTCTCAGTGGGTCCTTTCAGCCTGTCCCAATGTTTCATAATCACTGTGGTTCATTTTTTTAACCATCTGCTGTGATTAGAAAGAGGCTAGTTTGTGTATGTGGAGATTTGCTGTGTCCAGTGCACGCACATACATGAATCCACAGGGATTGTATGCTTGTTTTTTGGTATAATAATCTGCAAGAGCCTTCATAGATCTGTCACTTTAGCATCATCTAGGCAGATGTTACTGAAGGCGGCATGTCCAAACATTGCAGATATATTTGAAGTCTGATAGGCATAAAAAAGAGCTGGGAGAGTTTATGTATTTGTCACATCTATATGTGCTTGTATATCTAATAATGTCTTGTTATCTGATTGATTTCTAAAATTATTCAAGGGTAATTCAGGTATATGAACTGTGAATGAAAGTATTAGGTGGTTCAGCTAAGAAAATGATGAACGTTTATAAGCTTCAAAAAATTTTACAGTAAATGACACTGTAGTAACTGAAAGCCAGGCTTGAAGGTGACCGTTAGAGGAAATAGAAATATAGAATCTCACACATCATGAAGTAACTACAATATTTTTTTAAAAACTAAGTTAAAAGCTGCACAAGGGAATACAGTCATTGTTATAAACTGAAACTGAAGAAGCTGTGGCAGACTGGGTATTTGACTAGAGAGAACTCTGTGCTAGGAAAGTGGGCTGTGTCAGGAATTTGAGTATGCGAATTCCAGGAGTGTTTCCAGTTGCCCTTTAATTCCTTACAGCTCTGCTTTTTAGTCTGCTTAGTTTTATAGTGCAAGTCTAATCTCATGTGAATTTTAATAGTAAAGTACATTCATACGAAATTATTTTGGAAGATCAGTTATGATTGAGTTTTGGTGGTCCAGACTGGCTGAGTAAACAGACTATTTGCTATTATGTACTTTTAAATAGTAGAAATATTTTTCAAATCAACTGAATTGAGAAGTCCATTTGTATTTCTAAATTTATGTATGAGATCATTGCATGTAAGAATAAAAGCATCATAAGATTTAGGGTTTAGCGCAATTTAATTTATTAAGTTCCTCTTAAATTTATAAATTTATTATATGTCTGGACTTTGCATATTTTCCTTATGTGATGGTTTTGATAATTGAGTTGTTTTTCATTTGTTACTTAGAATTGATAAGGAGACAGAAGACAGAAGGCAAAAAGCTATTGAGGAGGTAATAAAACTTCATGCTATCAAACACTGATTTGTCTACAGAAAGGATTAATGTATTTTACAGGATTTCAAAACCCAGAAGCCTACTATATTTCAGTAAGAAAGTAATTTTGCACCCTCATCCCTTGCAGTTGTAGCTGGGAATCCACACACTCCTTTTCTTCCCCTCTCCTTTCAGAACACATGTAGGTCAAAACAAGAGATTTTTTATTTTGTTTTTTTTTTTGGCTACAGTAATGTGGCTGTAGTATAACTCTTACTAACTTCAGGTTAGAAACAGCAATTGAGAATTTGGGGGTTTACAGTAACAGTTGGAGTGATACTGCATTTTTTGAAATATTGGAGAATTTGTGGGTTTGTTTTTTTTTTATTCTTCCAAAGTCTGCTTTGTTGGATGGAAGACTTTATTCTGGTAACTTGTATTTTCCCATCCAGTTTTCATTTTATTTTTCACTATTCATTTGGCTAGCAGAGAAGAAAAAATGAAATGT